AAGGCTTTCAGCACCAAAAGGAAAAGAAGCTGTTTTTCAGAAACAGGTAACAGAAGTCAGTATGGTGATGCATCCCTGTTATCCCAACACTCGGGAGGCTGAGGCAAAAGGGTGGCAAGATGGAGCCCAGCATGGACAAGTTAAGGTCTCAGTGAGATACAGTCTAAACATTAAAAACAGCTAGAGATGTGGCTGAGTGCAAAGAGTCTGGGTTCAATCTCCAATACCAGAGGGAGAAAGAAGAGAAGTCAGGGGATGGAAAGGGAGTGGGGAGAGGGGGGAAAAGGAGACAGGAGGGAGGAGAGGCAAGAGAGAGGAGAGAGCAAAGAGAACAGAGGAGAGAGCAGACAGGAGAGAAGACAGAGGACAGAGGAGAGAGTGGAGAGAGAGGACAGGGGAGAGGGGAGAAGGGAGAGAAAGGACAAGGGACAGAGGGAAGAGAAAAGGAGAGAAGAGGAGGGGAGGAGCGAGGAGGGGAAGGGGAAGGGAAGGGGGGAGGACAAAGAAAGGAGGTTAGAAGCAGAGGGAATGATGATGGGGGGGGGAAGGAGAGGAAAGAAAGGAAGAAAGGAGGGTTACAGAGAGGAGAAAGCAAAATATAGCTAAAAAGAAAACATGATCAGAAGTGTTGGAGGCAAGGAAAGAGGATCACTGAGGCAGGAAGTCAAGCAGAGGCCTGGAAAGAACAGGTTGCCAGCAGACCAGACATCAGGGGACAGTGGGCTCCGGGGACTATAAAGACCCAGCTGGCAGCACAAGTGTCTCTGGCTGCGGCAGCTCTAAGCCTCCCAGAACCTTCAGGGACAGACCAGCTAAATAACAAGCAGTCACCCTGCTGAGTCCTGGGCCCTTGAGTACCCTCCAAAAAAACCTGAACAGTTTATCTTTCTTTCAGTAGCCATCCACATCTTCTGAATTCATTGCTAATGCCTGAAATTCCTTAAAGAAGGACAGAAACACTTTCATTCCATATTCAAAGAAAAAAATGACAAAAATGCAAAGTTTGGCTAGTAGTGAGTTTAACCAAGGAGTTTCAGGTAATCACCTTGCCAAGCGGGGCCTAGGCACACATCTTTGGGAGTGGATGGATAAACAGTTTATTCAGGATGATAAGCAGTGGAATTAAATCAATCACTATAGTTTCCAATCCCTTAATAAATACTTACTGAATGATTTACAAACAAACCTAAGTATACAATCTGTCAGACATTTCCCTATGTCTACAGAGGGAGGATTTGATCACCTGGAGAATCTCAGGATCAAGTGGAAGAGGTCAATGTCACCAGGGAATAAAAGGTTATGCAAAGCTCAGCACAATGGCACATGTAATCCTAGCTACTCTGGAAGCTGAGGCAGAGGATCACAAGCCCACCATGCCAACTTAGTAAGACCATGTCTCAGAGTAAAATTTTAAAAACAGAAGGGGAGGCTGGGCATGATGGCACACACCTGTAATCCCAGCACTTGGGAGGCAGAGGCAAAGGACTGCCATGAGTAGAGGCCATCCTGGGACACATAGTAAGTTTAAGACCAGCCTGACCTACATAGTGAGATCTTGCTTTAAAAAAAAAAAAGTAAAATTTTAAAAAGGGATGGGGAGGCTGGGCATGGTGGCACACACCTGTAATCCCAGCACTCAGGAGGCTGAGCCCAGCCTGGCTGACATAGTGAGCTTAAGGACAGCGTGAACTACAGAGCAAGACCCTGTCTCAAAATAAATAAATAAAAGGGCTGGGGATTTAGCTCAGTGGTGCCACCGCCTGCCTTGCAAGCACAAGGTCCCGAGTTCAATCCCCCGGTACCTAAATAAATAAATAAATATTAAGATTAAAAATTTAAAAAATAAATTAAAAAGGACAGACATATAGCTCAGTGGTAAATTACTCTGAGGTTCAATCCCTGGCACCCAAACACCACCAAAAAAAGTCATACAAAAAGGAAAAGAAGGGTTCGGTAGTTCAATAATCGACAGAGTGTATAGCATACAGAAGACCCTCGGTTTAATTCCCAGCTCTTAAAAAAAAAAGAAAAAGAAAAAGAAAAAAGCCAGGCATCGTGGTGCACACCTGTAATCCTAGCACTTGGGAGGCTGAGACAGGAAGATCGACATGACTTTGAGGCCAGCCAGGGCTACATAGTAATTTCAAGGCCAGCCTGAACAAATAACGAAACTCTTGTCTCAAAAAGCTAAAACCAAACCAAACAAAACAATAACAACAGAAATGATAGAGCTAAGAATGCAGTAACAGAAACTGTAAATTTCAACACAAGCTAGAATGAGATTCACTGTCTTGACCAGTGGTTACAAGGATAAACTCTGAAGTCAGACAGTAAGGATTTAAATCCTAGCTTTGGTATTTACTAACTATGAGACTATTTACTAACTATGGGTAAGTAATATAACTTCTCTCTGCCTCAGTTTCCAAACTTCTTAAATGGAGAGCTACATCTATTTCACTGGGCTACTGTAAGAATCGAACTAGTTATGAGCCAGGGATTTAGCTCAGTGGCACTGCATCTGGCTTCAAAGTGCAAGGTCCTGAGTTCAATCCCTGGTACTGCAAAAAAAAAAAGAAAGTAGTACCGGTAAAATGAAGTGCTTAGAATACTACCTGCTATCAATAGTAACAGTAATTACTGTTATTATCTGGTCTGAATCTATCAGGTCAAGGAGCTCTGTCATTGCACAGAAGTACTTTCACACATTTATGTAAACAAGGGACAGACTCAGAGAAGGGGTATGATTAAAGAAAACTCATGACTACTTGGGGAATTAAAAAGGTCTCAGATTTCTAGGTCTTAGATTCTGCTTCCAGTGTGTCCCCCAAGGTCCATGTATTCAAGTCTTGGTCCCCAGTCTGGTACTATGGGGAAGTGGCAGAAACATTAGGAGACTTGGTCACAGAGCAGGCCCTGGAGGGGGAAAGTGGAAGCCCACACCCTTCTGCTTCCTCTTATTGCCTGTCTTGAGGTGAGCAGTTCCAGTCTGCTGCACCTGCTGCCATGATGTGGTGCCTTACCACAGGCCTTGAAGCATCAGGGCCAAACAGCTATGGACTGAACCTCCAAAACTGTGAGCCAGAATAAACTTTTCTCTTGGGAAGTCAATCATCACAAGTATTTATTATAGAAATGGAAGTTGACTAAAACAGACTTATTTTTTTTTCTGTTGGTGTTTTTCTGGTTATTAAACCCTTCTTTCTTCTGAAGAGATGAGAGGAAGAGTCAAAAGTAAGACAGAGCATGAATTAGTGTATTCTGACAATTGCTGACAGCTTAAATGGTTTGTGTGGAGGTAAACAACACTGGCTCAGATAAAACCATCATATATTCTCCATGTTTTATAGAAGAGACCGAGAATAGGAAGAACTTGAGACAAGCACTCACAGTAAAATTCCATCACCTCAAGACTTAAAAACTTAGAGGACAGGGCCGGGGATTTAGCTCAGTGGTTTCACTGCCTGCTGTGCAAGCACAAGGACCCAAGTTCGATCCCTGGTACCAAAAAAACAAGAAAACTTAGAGGACAGTTTGCTACACTGAGATGAGTACAGTGAAAATCAGGCACCATTTACTGTTTTGAATCAAAATGGGGCTTCAGGTGCAATGATGTCTACCTATAACCCCAGCTACTCGGGAAGCTGAGGCAGGATGAAAAGGCTTGCAAGTTCAAGCCCAGCCTGGGCAACATAGCAAGACTTTGTCTTAAAATTAAAACATTACAAGCATTGGGGCTATAGCTCAGTGGTGGAGAGCTTGCCTAACATGCACAAGATTCTGGGTACCATCCTCAATACAGCCAAAAAAAAAACCCCCTAAATAATTGGGTTTTGGTTTCCTGGAAGAGCTAGTTAAGAAATATACCTATATTTGCCGCCTGCTGCACAAGTGCAAGGACCCGAGTTTAATCCCCGGTACCAAAAAAAAAAAAAAGGAAAAGAAAAGAAATATACCTATAGGGCCAGGGATTTAGCTCAGTGGTTCTGCCGCTTGCCTCAAAAGCACAAGGACTTGAGTTCAATCCCCAGTACCAAAAAAAAAGAAATATTCCTATAGAACATACATCTCAGATAATAAGGGAAATTTTTCCAGTATAGGAAGAAATGGGTTAAGAAACAGGGAATTAACTGGTAGTAGGAGAAGCTAACTTTCAGTTTTATTTTAAAGAAATGTATATACAGGTATATGTACACTGATATGTTGTTTCTGTTAGAGACATGACTGACAAAGGAACAAAGTTCATGGCTTCTGTATTTTTTTTTTTTGGTACTGGGAATCAAACTTGGGTCCTTGTGCTTGCGCAGCAGGTGGCGAAACCACTGAGCTAAATTCCCGGCCCATGACCTCTGTATTTTCAAGATGGACTTTTATAAGGGTTGTTTATTTGTTTGTTATGGTACTAGGTTTTGAACCCTTTTTTAAAGTTTTAATTTTACTACAGTTGCCCAGGGTGGCATGAAACTCTCCATTCTCCTGTTAGCCTCGCAAGTAGCTAAGATTATAGGTGGGCACCACTATGCTGAGCTATGAGGTATTCTCTCTACCTTTATTTACTAGGAGGAAAAGAAATGAGAACATATGAAGTACCAAGAATTTTTTTATACACTATCTCAGTTAATCTTCTTAGTAACTTTATGAATCCAGATGAGAAAAATGAAACAGAGAGATATAAGGAAAACTCCCCAAGTAACACTAGCTCTAAATGATGGAATACACTCAGGATATTTTCTTTTTTTTGGTACCAGGGATCGAACTTGAGTCTTTGAGCTTGCGCAGCAGGCAGCGAAACCACTGAGCTAAATCCCTGGCCCCACTCAGGATATTTTCTTTTTGTTTTTTGTTTGTTTGTTTTGTTTTGTTTTTGGAACTGGGGATTGAACTTGGGTCCTTGCGCTTGCACAGCAGGCGGCGAAAGGATATTTTCAATTCAAACCTCAGATATACTCTGTGCACTTCACTACACCGTCTAAAGAGTGACAGATATTTTAGTATCTACTTGCCTGAATGTTAATGTCTGTCCACAGAAATAGGTCGGAGCTCTGGAGTAGAGAACACCTGAGGATTCAGAATCATTCCGAAGTGCTATGTTTCTTCGACTGCTCAAACTGTACCCCTCAAAGCCAGTTGTCCACTCTTTTTAAAAGCAAAGATATTGAAAATTATTAGAATCTCTACAGGGATAACTTGAATACAGATACATTAATCAGAACTTAGAAGCAGAAGTGACTATTCATAAAGGTCATGGCTAAGTTTAATAAAATAAAAAATTCAATAATGGGATATCATGGTTAATTCCACAAATTACAAAAAAGATTTTAGAATATTTCTGTGCAATTTTGGCATGGAAAATCAAATGTGTGCTACTTCCTATCTAATAAAATTATGGTTCAAGCTTACCTGTCTGAACTTACTCTAACATGATTAAGAACTAATGAATATATTGGGCCGGGGATTTAGCTCAGTGGTTCCACCGCCTGCCTGGTAAGCACAAGGACCCAAGTTCGATCTCCAGTACCAAAAAAAAAAAAAGAACTAACGAATAGGGGTAGGAGGTATAGCTCAGTGATAGAGTGAATGCTTAGCATGTGTGAGGCCCAAGGTTCAGTCCTCAGTCATACACACAAATTTCACGTTATCATCAATTCAGGATTCATCCTTAGGAAAAAGGGTATTAGTGCACATCCACCTGCACAGAATATAAGCAAATTCCAACACACAGTTAGGCTCCAGGAGTGAGAAGGTAACGGCATACCATGAGGCACCAATGTGGAATGACCTATTTGGGGGATGCTCCAAGGACTCCACTCCTGTCGGCCGTCTCCTCGAGCGCAGACTCTGAACTGATAATCAACATTGGGGTCTATGTGCAGTACTATGAATTCAGTTTCAGATCCTACGTATACGTCTTCAAAATGATGTGAAGTGCATTTACGGAACTGAAGCCTGTAATCTTGGGCTGTAAAGTCATCGTCCACCTAAGGAGAAAAGTATTACATTAGGTAAACATCAGAAAATGAATGGGGACATTCTGGACCAGCCACACAGAAACATGTGCTGAACAGGACCCATTCTGGGAAGGTATAAGTAAATACACTGTGGCTGTGACAATTTCCTCTCTTTTCTTTTTTTTTTTTTTTGGTACCAGGGAATCAAACTCAGGACCTTGCACTTGCAAGGCAGGGAGCTAAAGGCACTACTGAGCTAAATCACTGGCCCTCCTTTCTTTTCTTTATTAGACCATGTGCTCGATACTTTCCAGTCTGACATTAAAAAAAGAATTGTTTCCTTTGAAGAAATGGCATACTTTTCTGAACAAGAATGTCAAAGATAAAATATCTGAAATTTAAGAATAAGTATCCCACTACTATACAGCATTCGTATAACTAAGAATTAATACCTGGAATATATAAAAGACTCCTAAAATTTGATAGGGTAAAAGCCACCCAGTAGAAAAATAAAGAAAAATTAAGAATAAAACAGACTAAGAAGTATAAAGTGGGACCAGGGATTTAGCTCAGTGGCACCTCTCCCGGACTTGCAAGGTTCTGAGTTGATCCCCAGCACCAAAAAAAATAAACAAAAAAAACAAGTATAAAGGGCCAAGGGCTGGGGATTTGACTCAGTGATAGTGCACTTACCTAGGTAGGAACCTACCTAGGTTCAATCCCCAAAAACATATACATACACAAAGGAAAACAAAACTAAACTAAAAAAATACTTCAAAACTGAATTTCATTTGGGCATGATAGTGCCCATCATTCTGGCAGAATGAGGCGGGAGGACCACAAGTTCAATTCCAGCCTGGGCAATTTAGCAAGACCCTGTCTCAAAAGAAAAAAGAAAAAAGGGCTGGGGATATAGCTCAGTGGAAAGACCCTAGGTTTGATCCCCAGTTCATACATACATACATACATACATAAATGTTTGTTTCAAACTAGAAGAGCAACTTCTGTTCAGGTTCCCTATGACTTTATTCTCATTGTAAAGCAAAAAAGATTTTTGCTTGGGAAGACAAGAAAGCATTCAAAATCTCAAATCCACAGTCACAGCCACTTCTGCAATTCCAAACTACATACCTTACACCATCGCACGATGATGCCCCCAGGCTTCTCTATCAGCTCTTCTATCTGTACTGGTGGACGGGATGCTACAGTCCCATGCTTAAAAATGTGGTCTTTCACTATGTTCAGAATGGAATCATCCAACTGAGCAGATAAGCAAGGCACATCAACCAGCAAAGGTACTTCCGGTAAACTGAGGAAACAAAGCTCAGTGTTTATGAGATTTCATTAACAGAGTTAAAAATACAAGAAATAGTTAGATCACTTAAAATGCTGGAAGGATCCTGAGGTCTCCAGTAAATAATTCTCACAGCTGTGGAAGGGTTGTTGTTTTTTTTTTTGGTACCGGGGATCAAACTCAGGACCTTGAACTTTTGAGGCAGGTGGTGGAACCACTGAGCTAAATCCCCAGCCCACGTGGAAGGTTTTAATGCGAGAGGTTTTAATCTTTATATTCCATAAAGATCCGCTTCACAAATAAATATAAGCAAGACAGAAATCTGGAAGAATTACAACTGTCAGGTTAATACCAAAAGATCTAGTTTACTGAAATATGACTCAATTTCAACGATATATTCAAGTTCTTCTCTTGTACAAAGGCCATGTTAATTTATGTATCATTCAAATTTTATTTTACATGTTTGTTTGTTTGTTTTGAGACTGGGTCTTGCTATGTAATTCAGGCTGGTCTTGAACTCATAGCAATCTTCCTGCCTCAGCCTCCCAAGTGCTGGGATTACAGGCATGTGACACTATGCTGGGCTTATCATTCCAATTTTAGCATATGTGCTGCTGAAACAGAGTCCCAGAATTTAAAAAATTTTAACAACTGTCTTATATATTAGAATTGAAAAGTATCTGCAGTAATACTAGGTCAAAAATTATAATCACATTTATTTTATGCTAATAGTAGTGATAATGGGCAGTCAAACTTTGAAAAATACACTATCTATCTACTTTAATCAGAATCTTTTATAGGGGGAAAAGAGAAGACATAGTCTAAATGGTTAAGCCCAAAAATCATAAACTCTTTTACCTGTCCAACTGAATGTGTGAGGCCTTTTTGGTAAAGCTCCACAGTTTCTCATTCTGTTCCTCTATACCTCCAAGAATGGCAATCTCACCTACAGCAAAAGCAAGAGAACTAGTACAGTGAAAAAGGGCCACATCAGAAAAGTAAGCAACATGACTTGTGTCCATGTCGGTCTCCAGTTTTCTTCCAAACAATATCTACATGATGCCACAGTTAAATTCCAAGATAAAAGTAGAAACTATTTCAGAAGTGACTATGGAAAGCCCAAATAGAGAAGGTAGACATAGTGCAACATTGTGCCAGAGCTGAAGATGCTGCTCTAGACAAGAAAATCTGGTCAACCAACTCCACACAAAGCAAAAGGCAAGGGACTTGTCCTACAGAATCTTTATCAGTTTGAACAGGAACAGAATATTACAGAGACAGGAGCTAGAGCGTATGGGGTCTTTTTTTGTTTTATGGTACTGGAGACTTAGCCCAGGGCCTTCATATTGACTATAGTCCCAGCTCCTCTTTTTTTTTTTTTTGGTACCAGGGATTGAACTCAGGACCTTGCTCTTTTTTTTCTTTTCTTTTTTTTTTTTTAGTACCGGGATCGAACTTGGGACCTTGTGCTTGCAAGGCAGACGCTGGAACCACTGAGCTAAATCCCCAGCCCCTTGGACCTTGCTCTTTCAAGCCAGGCGGCTGCACCACCAGGACCAGTCCTAGCCCTTTTTATTTTATTTTATTTTACTTTATCTTATTTCATTATTTTAGTTTTTAAACCTTTCTGTCTTACAGTACTAAAGATTGAACCCAGGGTCTTCACACAGCTACATTCCCAGTCATTTTTTTTTTTTGAGACAGAGTCTCACTATGTGGTTTGGGCTGACCTTGAACTTACTATGTAGCCCAGGCTGGCCTCAAATTCAAAGCAATCCTCCTATCCTCCGGCCTCAGTCTCCCAAGTCCTGGGATTACAGGCATGTATCACCATGTTTGCCTTACTTTTTATTTCTGAGATAGGGTCTTGCCAAGTCCTTATTTTGAGACGAGGTCTCAATAATGCCCAGTTTGGCCTTGAACAAACCATCTTCCTGTCTCAGCCTCCTGAATAGCTGGGATACACACATGTGCCATCATGCCCAGGAAGGCATATGGTCTTTTAAAATCAAATGATCCCAGGTGTGGTGGCACACAATTAGAATTCATACGACGAGATCCTATCTAAAAACCAAAACAAAACTAAAAGACAAAGGAATGGGGAGGTAGCTCAATGTGAAGGACCTGGGTTCAATTCACAATATAAAAAAACAAAAAAGCCAAGTGATGCAGTCAGATTTTCCTAAAAGAACATCATGCATTAGATCAGAAATTACACAACAGAATAAAAAGTAAATGCTACACAGATAGTATGAATAAGGCCAACTTCTACATCCTCCACAGCGCTTAAGGACACTGCCTTCAGAATGCACCCTGGAGCTACTCAAATTTTTGAGACCATATGACTGTCTTCACCTACAGAAAAACAGAAACATATTGAAGACTGCCTCAAATGCCATAAATAAATTTTTATCTCTTGGGAGGAAAAGAGTTTGAGATTTTAAAAATTTCTGAAGTATGAAAAATATTTAATAATCAAATGCTATAACAAACATGGATGTGCCTCAAATGATTTATTTTCTAAAATAAAAACACTTCTCAGTCCTGTGAGTAATAGGTGTGAACTCCTGGCCTGTGCTGACCTGCTTCTGGGTTTGTTTCCAAATGCAAAGCTCCAGGGAAAGACATTCTGTGTCCTGCCAAAAACTTTTTTCAAAGGCAGTTATGGTCAGTGGGAAAAACAAAAAAAACCCTTCCCAGTGAAGATAAATTGTAATTAGATGTAGATTAACAGCAGCATAACATTCTAAAAATAAAAAAAGAATCACTGATCAACTAAAGTCAAAACAAAACAAAAACAGGTGGGTGTGGTAGTACTGGCCTGTAATCTCAGCACTTGGGAGGCTGAGGCAGGAGGACTGAATCAGTTTGAGGCCAGCCTGGGCTGTATAGTGAGTTCAAGGCCAGTCTGAACTACATAGTGAGACCCTATCTCAAAAAACAAGGGCTGGGGATTTAGCTCAGTGGCACAGAGCCTGCCTTGCAAGTGCAAGGTCCCGACTTTGATCCCCAGTACCAAAACAAAACAACAACAACAAAACCGAATCACTGATCAGTAAATTCATCAATAATTCTACTTCCAGATCTGGACATAGCAGTGCAAGCGTATATTCCCAGTTCTCAGGAGGCTGAGTCAGGAGGATCACTGTAAATTTGAGGCCAGCATGGGGTACAGAGTTGAGTTCAAGGACAGCCTGAACTACACAGGGAGACCGTCTCACAAAATAACAACCCCTCCCAAAATCTATCTCCAAAAAATCTCTTAAAACCACCCGTGTCTCATTTTCTTTCTTTCTTTCTTTCTTTTTTTTTTGGTACCAGGGATTGAACTCAGGTCCTTCGGCTTGCGCAGCAGACGGCGAAACCACTGAGCTAAAGGCCTGGCCCCCATGTCTCATTTTCACTTGCCACTGTCTTTACCATTTCCTACCTGGCTCACTTCCACAACTTTTAATCAATCTCTTTTGCCTCCAGAACTTACAATTTATTTTTTGGTTTGCTTCTTTGTTATTGCTGTTGTTCTGTTTTATTTCGTTTTGTTTTAAAGACAGAGTCTTGCTTTTGTAGTTCAGGCTGGTCTTAAACTCATTATGCTGCCTAGGCCTGCCTGGAACTCACAGGTGATCCTCCTCCCTCAGCCTCCTGAGTGCTGGAATTGTAGGTGTGCGGTACGACACCCAGGTGAATTTATAACTTCTAATTTAGTCTCCAAACTGTTGGCAGGGCCATTTTGATACAATGTAAACCAATCATATACCTCTACTGCTTAAAATACTTCAGCGGATCCTTCAATATGACACTGCACTCCACTCCTGATGGTACTTCTGCTTAGAAATCAGTTACCTCCCTTTTTTTTCCTTGTCTGTTTGATGAATTTCTTCAAGCCTTTGTGGAACTGCTCCTATAGAAAGCTTCCCTATACTTTTCCCAAAAAGACTAAGCAACTTCTTCCTCTGTGTTTCAGTAAATCTGAGATATATCATAAGGTATGTACAGACCCCTCAGTGGACTGTGAACCCCAAAAAACAACTATTACTTTACCTTTTTTTTTTCCTGAGAAATGAGATTGAACCCAGGGCCTCACACATGCTAAACAAGCATTCTACCACTCAGCTTACTTTCTCCTGGACATGAATAACCACTCAAAAAGTTGGCTAAAGACAGGAATACAGCAATTAAACTTTAATCATATTTTTTAACAGGGACAACAGAACCATGAATATTGAAAAATATTTGAACAATCTCACAATGATCTGAAAATTGTGTTAACAATGAATTAGAAGCCATTATAATAGAAGCATTTGAGACAAATCATTTGCTCCTTATTTTGTAAATGATTCTAATATTTCAATTACACTTACCTTGAGACACCTCACAGTACAACTGCCATCCTATATTACAAACTGTCTAAAGGAAGGAACATCCCAAGTATCTCAGAGATAGCAAGAAGCCTGCTGATAGCCAGAGAAATCAGCCAAATGTCAATCTGAAAGATAAGCATTTAACAGGCTCCCTAGGCTCCCACCTTCTTGGACTAAGTCCTCTGCAGTGTTCACTCCGTGCTCTATGAGCTTCTGGCAGTCATCTAGTGGTTTAATGGTCTCCTGCTCAATGGTGTCCACCTCTTGCAAAAGAGTCACCAGGCGCTCATCCAGGAGCTTCCCAAGGGTCTCCTTTAAATCACTAAAATGCTGTTTGAGGACATCCCTTGTTCGTGATGCACTCTCTTTAATCTGAAAAGAAATAAAAGTTCAAAATCAGAATCTCTGGAAAAGATTAAATCACAGGTATCATTCAGAACTATCTATGGCCGGAGATTTAGCTCAGTGGTGCTGCCACCTGCCTCGAAAGCACAAGGTCCTGAGTTCAATCCCCGGTACAAAAAAAAAAAAATGACACTGTTATTCTCAATAAATAATTGTTAGAAATTATTATTTGCACAGTGTAGTTCTTGGCAATAGCATGTTTTAGTACAAAAAATTAAATACTGGGGATTAAAATTCATTTTACTGCAAAGAAGCAAAGGAACAGTATATAATACAGCTGGGCATTCTGGGAGCCTGGGGCAGGAGGATCCCAAGTTTAAGCTCAGCCTGGGCAACTTAATGAATTAGTGAGACCCAAAATAAAAAATTAAGAAGACTAGGGCTGTATCTCAGTGCAAAGGTCCTGAGTTCAATCTCTATGATCAGAAAAAAAGAGGGACAGCTGTTCACCTAGTAGCAAATACAAAGTCCCTGGTTCAATCCCCAGCACCACCAAAAAGAAAAAACAAAACAAACAAAAAAAAGTCTTGTGGATAAAATGCCCTTGTTATGGTAAAAGAACACTAAGAATTTATATATAATCCAAAAAAGACTCAGAGGCAGAACTGGTAGAGTAGCTTAATTTTTTTTTTTTTTTTTTTTTTGTACCGGGGATCAAAATCAAGACCTTGCCCTTCTGAGGCAGGTGTGGTGCCACTGAGCTAAATCCCTGGCCCAGGAGTAACTTAATCTTCATCGGGTCATGGTGCGCTTTGTGAACTCATGACAGGATCATACTCTCCCCCTAAAAAAATGAATAATCTACACCCTAAAAACTTATTTAATTCCAAAAGTTCACAAATTCCCTCTGATCCAAACTATGGCTTGCCTGAGGCAGTAATTATGACACCTTCTTTGCAGAAGAATCATGTAAACTGCCTGTCATCCATCAGACGTCAAGGTTCCATCCAAAACCTACTGAATCAGAAGCTTAGAGAAGGGGCTCGAGGAATGTGTGGATGGGGTTCTCATTCTTCACAAGCACACCAGTGATTCTGTAACTTACACCCTAAAAAACACTGCCCTAGGGCTGGGGATTTAGCTCAGTGGCACTGCACCTGCCTTGAAAGTGCAAGGTCCTGAGTTCGATCTCCAGTACAAAAAAGAAAAACAGCCCTAAATCCACAGAGCCAAAATTAAGAACTCTTGATCTAAAAGATGTGACAGAAAAAATTGGTACATAACATAAACATTTTAAAACAGGTTGTCTACACAAACATGTATTTTTTAAAAACATAATTCAAACAACACAAAATTCACTTTCTTACAGATAATCCATAGCTGGGACACTCAAACTAAATTAGACACATGGCTGGGGATGTGGCTCAAGTGGTAAAGCATCTGTCTAGTTTGCAAGGCTTGGGGTTTGATCCCTAGTGCTGAAAAAAAAGTATTGTACAGTAATTGCTTTGTAAATATTAATATATTAGTTTCATATAAACACATTGGGCTTACTACTCTAATCCTTTTGCTTTCTCTTAGCAAGAGAATTTGAAATATAAGAAAAGTATACCAAGAAAGAATACATTGCTGGACCTGATGGTGCATGCCTATAATCCCAGCACTCAGAAGGCTGAGGCTGGAAGATTGCTGTGAGTTTGAGGTCCGCCTGGGCTACATTGTGAGTGCAAGGCCATCCTGAACTACATAGTGAGACCCTGCCTCAAAAAGAAGAAACGATTAAAAAAAAAGATTAAAAAAAAAAAAAAAGAAGAAAAGATATTTGTGTAGTAAGTAAAAGAATTCCTTAAATCATAAAGAAAAGAAGAAATCCTAATTTCATTGCTAACTAATCTCTGTGGTTACTAGAGAATATGTATGAAATAAATCCGTTTTTTTTTAAAAGGCCATTAACCCAGAATGTACTTGATTTGGTACATTTCTGACTTAACCCTGGGATCCTTGAGAATCAGGCCCCATTATACACAGCACCTGGAAAATAATGTTGACAAATGAAAGTAAGCACGTGTGTTTGCAATAACTTTTTTTTTTTAATTTACTGTTTGGTTTTTTTTTGGTACTGGGGATCAAACTCAGGACCTTGCGCTTTCGAGGCAGGTGCAGTGCCGCTGAGCCAAATCCCCGGCCCTTGCAGTAACTTTTTAAAAGAACCATGGAGGGCCGAAGATTTAGCTCAGTGGTTCTGATGCCTGCTCTGCAAACACAAGGACCCAAGTTTGATCCCTGGTACTGCAAAAAAAAAAAACAACAAAAAAATACAATACAATACAATAAAAGAACCATGGAAAGTTAGCCTGTGATCCCAGGACTTGGGAAACAGCAGGACTGCAAGGCCATCATAGGCTACACAGTGAGTTCAAAACCAGCCTGGACAACATAGTGAGACCTTGTCTCAAAAAAACAAAAAATATGAACAGCGGGCGTGGTGGTACATGCCTGCAATCCTAGCATGTGACAGGCTGAGGCAGGAGGATTGCTATGAGTTTGAGGCCAACCTGGACTATGTAGTGAGTACCAGTCTGTACAGCAAGATTCTATCTTAAAAAACCAAACCAAAACCAAAACAAACAAACAAAAAATGTAAAAGAAGAGCTGGGGATGTAGCTCAGTGGTGCCTCACCTGCCTGGTAAGCACAATGTCCTGAGTTCAATCCCCAGTATGTGTGTGTGTGTGTGTGTGTGTGTGTGTGTGTGTGTGTAAAAGAAACAGAATGCTTTATGATTTTGATATACACTGGGATATTGTAAGAAAAACAAAAACTCAAGCTCTATCCAGAACTACTAAATCAAAACCTTTATATTTATTAAGATGCCAGGTGATCTGTACACACCACTCAGAACAATAAACGAGGCCAGGGATTTAGCTCAGTGGTTTTGGACCTGAGTTTGATCCCCGGTACCAAAAAAAAAAAAATGGCCTTGAAGAACAATAAATGAAGACATGTCAGAGCAGTGTAAATACACTTCAAATCCCCAATACCAAGAGGAAATTTTGCAGCTGAACACTACAGCACCAGGGTCCTGTGGAGCTCCTTAATGGATATGGCACACACAGGAAGTGCACTGGTTAGGTAAAGTCGATTTCCTCTTTAGAAATAATTCAAAAGCTCCTTCAGAGTTATACAGAATCACTATGTTTTGTTTTTGTTTCAGAACCTCAGAGAGAAAAAAAAAGGAAGTAAACACAAAACAGCAAAGGGCTATGAAGGGGAGAATTCATTCCCAAACCCATCTCCTGCGCTCTCATTTATCAATTTTGTTCCTTTTGTTCACAGAATCCCACCATTCCCATTTCAAACTTGATACTACCTTGGGATCAGTTTCTCCTCCCAGAAATAATTCATAATTTTAAAGTTCAATCACCTTTAACACAACCAGGTAACTAATCAAGTTCATTTGCTTGGCTTTATGAAACTGATTTTAAAAAGAAGACTTTACTCTGGAGTGAATTTCCTCATTTTTTATTTGGTATCAATGGTCCAATTCATCACCTCACTAAATTTTCACAACTCCTAGAAAGGAGGCTGCATTGTTTAGGGTTAAAGAATGCAGTTCCAAGAAGTAATTTTACCCAAGGCTTCACACTGCCCAAAACAGTCTGACTTCAAGAACCATGATCTTCTGATCACACTGTTGGTTTGCTACTTAGAGATCCTATTTTTATTTTGGGGGGTGTTTTTTGTTTTTGTTTTTTGAAGCAGGGTTTCCCTTTGTAGTTCAGGCTGCCCCTAAACTATGTAGCCCAGGCTGGCCTCAAACTTGCAGGGATCCTCCCACCTCAGCCTCCCAAGTGCTGGGACTACAGGCATGCACCACCACGCCCAGCTCTAGATATCCCATTTTAAAGAGTTCCTAGGAAATCTTGTAAATTATGTACCGTGTTGGCTGAAGACACTTCCGCTATGTATTTCTTGCCCCTGCATAAAGCTTTGTGAGGTTACTAACCATCACCCCCAAATGCTACCTTGTCATCTACAGCAAAAACTCTGGTAGTTTGTTTTTGTTCTTTTTTTCAACTCTGGTAGTTTGTAACAAAGTAGACTTAAAAAGAATACAAAACAGAAACAAGTCAAGGACTCAAAAAGGAAACTGTAATATACATTTTTACATCGAGTCATCATATTCTGATCTCATTTTCCACTAAAACTTCTATTGTAACAATTAAAACTTACTTAACAAAGTTTCCACTGCAGCTGAATCAGCCCCAAAGTAAATGTTTTTAAAGTTTTAGGGCCAGGGATTTAGCTCAGTGGTTCTGCCGCCTGCCTTGTAAGCACAAGGACCCAAGTTCGATCCC